TTAAAAGAGTAAATGGTTAAATGCAGTAAAGCTGACAACAAAATTGGTACATTTTACATGTTTCAATTACTTGAAACACTACAACAATGAATAAATTAATAAATTAAATGATAATAAAAACAAATTTAATGACTCTAGTGTTTTAATAAAGCGCATATATACATACATACATGCGTGTGAATGTGTGTGTGGATGTTTCCCAGGGATGGGTTGCGGCTGGAAGGGAACCAGCTGCGTAAAAACTTGCTGGATAAGTTGGCGGTTCATTCCGCTGTGGCGACGACGGATTAATAAAGGGACTAAGCCGACAAGAAAATGAATTAATGAATGATATATATAAATACACACACACACACACACGCACGCACAGTTGAAGTCAGAATTATTAACCCCCCCCCCGTTTATTTTTTTTCCCCAATTTCTGTTACATGCTGAAATTTGTTGAAAAAATCTGCTCTCCGTTAAATAGAAATAAAAAAAATATATAAAAATAAATAAAAATAAATAAATATATATATATATATATATAAAAATATACATACATATATATATATATATAATATATTTTACTACTATATTTAATGGAGCCACAACTTAATAATTCCACAACTTAATAAATAAAGCAAATAAAATATAAGACACCAATGTTGAATAAATGTCTTTTTTTAATATGTAGGTATCCAGCCAAATTTATTAATGTTTCCTTGGCTTAGGAATGAACCGCCAATTTATCCAGCATTTGCTTTATGTAGCGAATGGCCTTCCAGCTGCAACCCAGCACTGGGAAACACCCATACACACTCACACTCATGGATGGGAGACCACATGGGAACACTAGGTTGCTGTTAGAAGTGGTGTTAGAAAGGCCAGCAGGGGGCGCTCAACCTGTGGTCTGTGTGAGTCTTAATGCCCCAGTATAGTGAAGGGAACAGTATACTGTCAGTGAGCGCCGTCTTTCAGATGAGACGTTAAACTGAGCTCCTGACTCTCTGTGGTCATTAATAATCCCATGGCACTTCCGGTAAAGAGTAGGGGTGTAACCCTGGTGTCCTGGCCAAACTCCTTCTCAGCCCCTTAACCATCACGGCCTCCCAATCATCACCATTCACTGAATTGGCTCTATCACTGTCTCTCCACTCTACCTACAGCTGGTGTGTGGTGAAGCACTGGTGACATTGTCCTGTTGCTGCTGGCGTGTCATCCAAGTAGAGCTGCACACTGGTGGTGGAGTGGAGAGACCCCTCCTCCCCCCCACCCCCATGGCCAGACACGATAAATGCGTATATAAATACAAACACAGTTGAACACAAACAATATGATAATTAGTTCTTTTATTATGACAAGGCACATGAAGGTCTTACAGGCTGTCTTTAAACACATTATTTACATTAAAACTGCTCGACGATACAAAAGGCAGAGAGCGTTTTCATCTCACTCATATAAATATACTTGAGTGTGCATCTGCAAGAGACTCTAGTAGTGTATGAGCACAGTGGAGATACGAGGACGGCAGTCTGTGTGTGTGTGTGTGTGTGTGTGGATATATTATGGAAACAGACTGGTTTGGCATAGATTGCAGGAAGCACCAGGTCTCATGTTTGATTACCTCTTCATTTCAGTACTGGTTTGCAGTGTCGGATCCCTGAATGAAAGATTTCACTGGTCCACAAACTTTGAGGAGTTTATAATCCATAATTTGTGATTGTAGTTTCGTTTTTGTGATGAAAAAACAATTGTGCATTTAATAAAACATTCAAAAAGGTGAACATGAGGTGCTGGTGAGATATAATATGCATAAACGCACTGTCAAATGTTGTTCTTACTTACAGTTCAAGTCTTGTTTCTAGTTCATTTATCGAAACATCCTTAAAATAAGATTGTAGACCAGTACAAACTATTGTATTGCTTTCAGAAATTCATTCCATTATTATTTTTCTGTCGGCTTTATTAATCTGGAGTCGCCACAGTGGAATGAACCGCCTCTTTTCAGAATTGAAAGTCAAAATTAGGCATAAAAAAGCAAGATAATCAGCCCAGGAGTGAAGTAAAATAATCTTGTTGTTTGGTTTGATATAAGTTTATTTTTCTTTCACCGCTGGCACATTATTTTGCTCATTTTAAAGAAATAATTAAATTATTTGACTTCTGAAAAGTATGGAAGCCCGTTCCCGCCACTGAATAAAAAATACAAAATTTATACAATGTAAAAAAAAAAAAATTATAAAGTCAGAATTCCAAGTTATTAAGACAGAAATCTGAGTTAGGTCAGAATTAAAAAAAATTTAAAGTCAGAATTCCGAGTTATTAAGACAGAAATCTGAGTTAGGTCAGAATTAAAAAAAATTTAAAGTCAGAATTCTGAGTTAAGTCAGAATTCCAAAATCTAAAGTCAGAATTCCGAGTTCTAAAATCGAAATTCCGAGTTGTAAAGTCAGAATTCTGAGTTAATAAGACAGAAATCTGAGTTAAGTCAGAATTCCAAAATCTAAAGTCAGAATTCCAAGTTATTAACGAGTTTCCTGTTATTGGCGACTGGCCATGAAGCGTTATGTACATCAGCTCAAGATGTATGCACATTAGCTCATAATAACAACATAACGCCTATATGTGTATATGTTATTGTTTATCACGCTTTCATAAAGGAAATATATAGGCTGGCTGAACTATGCTATCTATTTATGGTTATGGATTTGTTCTTTTTCATTTGGTCTAAATAGCAATTATAAAGCATTAAACAGAGTGCCTGAAACTATTAGCTATTGGTTGTGGGATTCCTCATAAAGTCTAAAATTAAGATTTCTATATTATTTATCTATTATATGTGTAACAATGATATGATTGACATTTTGTTGCTGCTGTTTTTTGTTTCATATTGCAAGAGTGCCCTCATGTGGTGTATGTGGGAGCTGCAGACATATGTATCGTACATAGACGAGGGCTAAACTAAAAGGGCTGCATTAGTTCATTTTCAGTTCAGTAAAAGTGTCAACCAAATTCTGTGGTCTCCTCGCCTTAATTGGAGAACCTGAGCTGTGAATCCATACCAGATCACAGAACAGTCCTTAACACTTTATTAATGGCCATTCACCATAACATAACTCACAATTCTGACTTTAAAACTCGTAATTCTGACTTTATAACAGGTAATTCTGACTTTACAGCTCGTAATTCTGACTTTATAACACGTAATTCTGACTTTATAACACGTAATTCTGACTTTATAACTCGTAATTCTGACTTTATAACTCGTAATTCTGACTTTACAACACATAAATCTGACTTTATAACACGTAATTCTGACTTTATAACACGTAATTCTGACTTTATAACACGTAATTCTGACTTTATAACTCGTAATTCTGACTTTATAACACGTAATTCTGGATTTATAACTCCTAAATCTGACTTTATAAGACATAGTTCTGAGTTTATAACACGTAAATCTGACTTTATAACTCGTAATTCTGACTTTATAACTCGTAATTCTGACTTTATAACTCGTAATTCTGAATTTTTAACACGTAATTCTGACTTTATAACATGTAATTCTGACTTTATAACACGTAATTCTGGATTTATAACTCCTAAATCTGACTTTATAAGACATAGTTCTGAGTTTATAACTCGTAATTCTGACTTTATAACACGTAAATCTGACTTTATAACTCATAATTCTGACTTTATAACTCGTAATTCTGAATTTTTAACACGTAATTCTGACTTTATAACATGTAATTCTGACTTTATAACACGTAATTCTGACTTTATAACACGTAAATCTGACTTTATAACTCATAATTCTGACTTTATAACTTGTAATTCTGAATTTTTAACACGTAATTCTGACTTTATAACATGTAATTCTGACTTTATAACACGTAATTCTGACTTTATAACTCGTAATTCTGAATTTTTAACACGTAATTCTGACTTTATAACATGTAATTCTGACTTTATAACACGTAATTCTGGATTTATAACTCCTAAATCTGACTTTATAAGACATAGTTCTGAGTTTATAACTCGTAATTCTGACTTTATAACACGTAAATCTGACTTTATAACTCATAATTCTGACTTTATAACTCGTAATTCTGAATTTTTAACACGTAATTCTGACTTTATAACATGTAATTCTGACTTTATAACACGTAATTCTGACTTTATAACACGTAAATCTGACTTTATAACTCATAATTCTGACTTTATAACTTGTAATTCTGAATTTTTAACACGTAATTCTGACTTTATAACATGTAATTCTGACTTTATAACACGTAATTCTGACTTTATAACTCCTAATTCTGAATTTATAACTCCTAATTCTGAATTTATAATTTTTTTTTGCACTGTATTAATTAATTTATTTTTTTATTCGGTGGGGGGAACGGGCTTTCATAGAAAAGAAAGCAATATTCTTTACTTGACTAAATTGGTTCTTGATTTAATAAATTTTAGACATCTGAACTAGAAACAAAACAAAAACTTAAATGTATACAGACTTTTTCAGTTTGCACCCACAGATCCAATCAGAAATACTAATGACCTTTCTGAAATAACTATTTAAACTTTCCCCATAAATATATAACCGGAAACCATCAGAACAAATATATATAACCTTTCGCAAATTAAAAACGCAATGATCAAATTAAAGGGACAGCCCACTTCAAAATTCATTATATGTCTTAATTTACTCAGCTGTTACAGTCTTACATTAAATAAAAGGTAAGATATTTTATAGATTCATGAAATAAGTAACCATTAACTTCCATAGTATGCATTTCTGTTCCAATGGAAGTCAATGACCACCAGTTTCTGACATTCTTCAAAATATCTTCTTTTTCTTTTACAGAAATTCATTATCGGAAAGACGTGCATTTTTAGGGTGTACTGTTCCTTTAAATCATAGGTCTCAAAGTCAATTCCTGGAGGGGCTGGTTCAGGTGTGTTTGATTAGGGTTGGAGCTAAACTCTCCAGGACACCGGCCCTCCAAGACCGAGTTTGGACACCCCTGCTTTAAAGGAACAGAATCACCTATTTCCTGACACTCATCAACAATAAAGAACAAAATATGGAATATATAATCCAGGAGTTTGATGACAGGTCTGCGTTGGACATTTATGGACTGAAATGCATTGTTGGATACGTGCGCTGTGGTCTCACTGGTACCAGGGTGTCTTGCGGACCCAGTGCAGGGTGAAGCCGGCGTCAGTGCGGATCTTGATGGATGCGGCTTCAGCTTCTCGGACAGTCTCTTTCACGGACTGCATGAGGTTCTGAGCGTTGTGGACCAGCATCTCAGTGGCCTGAGGGACAGCAACAGCACAGATTTACAGGAGAAACAAACATAATAGATAGATCGATAGATAGACAGACAGACAGACAGACAGATCTGACCTGCTCTGATTCCTCCTCGCTAATGTTGGTGCGGCCCAACATTGTAGCCTTCACCGTGGACAGAATCTTCAGCTGAGTACTGATGGTGGGGATCCTCTCACACACCTGTACACACACACACACACACACACACACACACACACACACAGACACACACACCTTTTAAAATGTGTATCTGCACACTGACAGAATTTCATTAAATCCCTGTTTTCCTAAAAATACTATAGTAAAGTATATAGTATAGCAAAGTATAGTAGGGTAAATAGTAAATACTACATTATTTTTAAGGAATAACAAGTAACTGAACTGATTTGCAAATTTAATTCAATAGTTGATATGGTAACGCAACAACTATACTAAAATAAATAAATCACCAAATACTGTAACCTATGTTCTATAGTAGCTATGGTAACACAACAACTATAACAAAGTAAACAAATTGCACAGTCCTGTAGTTGTCATTCTATAGTAGCTATGGTAACACAACAACTAAAGTAAAATAGTCAAATCGCACAATATTGTAGTTGTCATCCTATAGTAGCTATGGTAACACAACAACTAAAGTAAAATAGTCAAATCGCACAATATTGTAGTTGTCATTCTATAGTAGCTATGGTAACACAACAACTAAAATAAAATTGTCAAATCGCACAATATTGTAGTTGTCATTCTATACTAGCTATGGTAACACAACAACTATAGTAAAATAGTCAAATCACACAATATTGTAGTTGTCATTCTATAGTAGCTATGGTAACAACAACTATAGTATAATAGTCAAATCGCACAATATTGTAGTTGTCATTCTATAGTAGCTATGGTAACACAGCAACTAAAGTAAAATAGTCAAATCGCACAATATTGTAGTTGTCATTCTATACTAGCTATGGTAACACAACTAAAATAAAATATTCAAATCGCACAATATTGTAATTGTCATTCTATAGTAGCTATGGTAACACAACAACTAAAGTAAAATAGTCAAATTGCACAATATTGTAGTTGTCATTCTATAGTAGCTATGGTAACACAACAACTAAAGTAAAATAGTCAAATCGCACAATATTGTAGTTGTCATTTTATACTAGCTATGGTAACAAAACAACTATAGTAAAATAGTCAAATCGCACAATATTGTAGTTGTCATTCTATAGTAGCTATGGTAACACAACAACTAAAGTAAAATAGTCAAATCGCACAATATTGTAGTTGTCATCCTATAGTAGCTATGGTAACACAACAACTAAAGTAAAATAGTCAAATCGCACAATATTGTAGTTGTCATTCTATAGTAGCTATGGTAACACAACAACTAAAGTAAAATAGTCAAATTGCACAATATTGTAGTTGTCATTCTATAGTAGCTATGGTAACACAACAACTAAAGTAAAATAGTCAAATCGCACAATATTGTGGTTGTCATTTTATACTAGCTATGGTAACAAAACAACTATAGTAAAATAGTCAAATCGCACAATATTGTAGTTGTCATTCTATAGTAGCTATGGTAACACAACAACTAAAGTAAAATAGTCAAATCGCACAATATTGTAGTTGTCATTCTATAGTAGCTATGGTAACACAACAACTAAAATAAAATTGTCAAATCGCACAATATTGTAGTTGTCATTCTATACTAGCTATGGTAACACAACAACTATAGTAAAATAGTCAAATCACACAATATTGTAGTTGTCATTCTATAGTAGCTATGGTAACAACAACTATAGTATAATAGTCAAATCGCACAATATTGTAGTTGTCATTCTATAGTAGCTATGGTAACACAGCAACTAAAGTAAAATAGTCAAATCGCACAATATTGTAGTTGTCATTCTATACTAGCTATGGTAACACAACAACTAAAATAAAATATTCAAATCGCACAATATTGTAATTGTCATTCTATAGTAGCTATGGTAACACAACAACTAAAATAAAATAGTCAAATCGCACAATATTGTAATTGTCATTCTATACTAGCTATGGTAACACAACAACTATAGTAAAATAATCAATTCGCGCAATGTTGTAGTCGCCATTCTATAGTAGCTATGGTAACGCAACAACTATAGTAAAATAATCAATTCGCGCAATGTTGTAGTCGTCATTTTATAGTAGCTATGGTAACACAACAACTATAGTAAAATAAACAAATCTTCCAATACTGAAGCAGTCATTCTATAGTTGCTATGGTAACACAACAACTATATTAAAACCTTTTTCTCTTACCTGCAGCAGGTTGGTCCGTATGCGTTTGTCTGTGCACTGTTTAGCAACCTCTTTAGCGAGGCGCGTGACCTCATCAGAGGCTTTAGCAATGTCTTTAGCGCACTGGATGAGGGCTCTCTTATTTCCGCCACTGCCCCGAACCAGACGAGACATTTCAGCCATCAGCAGAGCCATGCGCTTCGCCGCACCGATGATATCATTACCCTGAGCACAATCAACATGGACATTCAATTACAATCAATAGTTCGTTAATGGAATTCTGCAGTTAGTGATGTGCCATATATAATCTATGATAATATGGTTGTTTGATCTGTTGTGGTGATTCTATAGTTGCAATGGTAATAAATAAACTATAGTAGTTGATCTATAGCAGTGATTCTATAGTTGCTATGGTAATAAATCAACTATAGTAATAGATCTGTAGTGGTGATTCTCTAGTTACTATGGTAATAAAACAACTATAGTAATTGATCTATAGCAGTGATTCAATGGTGGCTATGGTGATAAAACATCTATAGTAATTGATTTGTTGCAGCGATTATATAGTTACTATGGTGATAAACCAACTATAGTAATTGATCTGTATCAGCGATTCTATAGTTGCTATGGTAATAAATCAACTATAGTAATTGATCTGTATTGGCAATTCTATAGTTGCTATGGTAATAAATAAACCATAGTAATTGATCTATATCAGCGATTCTATAGTTGCTAGGGTAATAAATCAACTATAGTAATTGATCTGTATCTGCGATTCAATAGTTGCTATGGTAATAAATCAACTATAGTAATTGATCTGTATTGGCAATTCTATAGTTGCTATGGTAATAAATCAACCATAGTAATTGATCTATATCAGCAATTCTATAGTTGCTAGGGTAATAAATCAACTATAGTAATTGATCTGTATCTGCGATTCAATAGTTGCTATGGTAATAAATCAACTATAGTAATTGATCTGTATCGGCGATTCTATAGTAGCTAGGGTAATAAATCAAACATAGTAATTGATCTCTATCAGCGATTCTATAGTTGCTAGGGTAATATCTGCAGGGTAATATCTGTATTGGCGATTCTATAGTTGCTATGGTAATAAATCAACTATAGTAATTGATCTGTATTGGCAATTCTATAGTTGCTATGGTAATAAATCAACCATAGTAATTGATCTATATCAGCAATTCTATAGTTGCTAGGGTAATAAATCAACTATAGTAATTGATCTGTATCTGCGATTCAATAGTTGCTATGGTAATAAATCAACTATAGTAATTGATCTGTATCGGCGATTCTATAGTAGCTAGGGTAATAAATCAAACATAGTAATTGATCTCTATCAGCGATTCTATAGTTGCTAGGGTAATATCTGCAGGGTAATATCTGTATTGGCGATTCTATAGTTGCTATGGTAATAAATCAACTATAGTAATTGATCTGTATTTGCGATTCTATAGTTGCTATGGTAATAAATCAACTATAGTAATTGATCTGTATTGGCGATTCTATAGTTGCTATGGTAATAAATCAACTATAGTAATTTATCTGTATCTGTGATTCTAAAGTTGCTAGGGTAATAAATCAACTATAGTAATTGATCTGTATCTGCAATTCTATAGTTGCTATGGTAATAAATCAACTATAGTAATTGATCTGTATCGGCGATTCTATAGTTGCTATGGTAATAAATCAACTATAATAATTGATCTGTATCTGCGATTCTTTAGTTGCTAAGGTAATAAATCAACTATAGTAATTGATCTGTATTGGCAATTCTATAGTTGCTATGGTAATAAATCAACTATAGTAATTGATCTGTATTACCGATTCTATAGTTGCTATGGTAATAAATCAACTATAGTAATTGATCTGTATCAGCGATTCTATAGTTGCTATGGTAATAAATCAACTGTAGTAACTGATCTGTATTGGCGACTCTATAGTTGCTATAGTAATAAATCAACTATAGTAATTGATCTGTATCTGCGATTCTTTAGTTGCTATGGTAATAAATCAACTATAATAATTTGTCTAGAGCAGTGATTCTATAGTTGCTATGGTAATAAATCAACTACAGTAATTGATCTGTATCGGCGATTCTATAGTTGCTATGGTAATAAATCAACTATAGTAATTGATCTGTATCTGCGATTCTTTAGTTGCTATGGTAATAAATCAACTATAGTAATTGATCTGTATTGGCAATTCTATAGTTGCTATGGTAATAAATCAACTATAGTAATTGATCTGTATCAGCGATTCTATAGTTGCTATGGTAATAAATCAACTATAGTAATGGATCTGTATCTGCGATTCTATAGTTGCTATGGTAATAAATCAACTGTAGTAACTGATCTGTATTGGCGACTCTATAGTTGCTATAGTAATAAATCAACTATAGTAATTGATCTGTATCTGCGATTCTTTAGTTGCTATGGTAATAAATCAACTATAATAATTTGTCTAGAGCAGTGATTCTATAGTTGCTATGGTAATAAATCAACTACAGTAATTGATCTGTATCGGCGATTCTATAGTTGCTATGGTAATAAATCAACTATAGTAATTGATCTGTATCTGCGATTCTTTAGTTGCTATGGTAATAAATCAACCATAGTAATTGATCTGTATTGGCAATTCTATAGTTGCTATGGTAATAAATCAACTATAGTAATTGATCTGTATCAGTGATTCTATAGTTGCTATGGTAATAAATCAACTATAGTAATCGATCTGTATCTGCGATTCTATAGTTGCTATGGTAATAAATCAACTGTAGTAACTATTCTGTATTGGCGACTCTATAGTTGCTATAGTAATAAATCAACTATAGTAATTGATCTGTATCTGCGATTCTTTAGTTGCTAGGGTAATAAATCAACTATAGTAATTGATCTGTATCTGCGATTCTTTAGTTGCTATGGTAATAAATCAACTATAATAATTTGTCTAGAGCAGTGATTCTATAGTTGCTATGGTAATAAATCAACTACAGTAATTGATCTGTATCGGAGATTCTATAGTTGCTATGGTAATAAAACATCTAAAGTATAGTATGATTGATCCATGATCTGACCTTGCTGGACCACTTGCGGGCCTCGTCGTGCAGCTGTCGTGCGGCCACCATCATGGGCTCGCTGACCATCTCTCCGGCCTGCTGCTCCGGGAACTCCTCGTCCTTCTCCTCGGGTGGTGGAGGTCTGGGTGGAGGAACTTCACCCTCCGGCAGCGGTGGTTTGGGAGGAGCAGCCGTGTCGCTTATCTGAAAGACAAACAGTTTAAGTGCTCAGGATTTAACCATCACAGAGTTTAATGCCGCTTGCATTTCTGTCTTAGGTTTACGGCAGATTTTGAGCAGCTTTTTATGCATTCCTGTGATGTAATTTAAACTCGCATTAGCCTTAAAATACTGAATAAGCCTAGTGCATTTAATTAAGCAATTATAATTATATATTCCTGCATCAAAAACAATATTTAGGGCCAAACACAAATAAAAAACATATAATAATAATCATAATAATATAAATAAATCAACATTATAAATAAAACTAACCCATATTGGGCTCTACAGCAATACAGAAAATATATAAATACAAATTATGCAAGAGGTGGAGAAGTAAAATAAAAATAAAAATAATTATTATATGTATTAATTAAATATATATTTAACTTTAGAATGCAGAAATCTGAAAATTCTCCAGAGGGAGAGTTTAATATGGTGCAGTGTGTGCTGAGTCTGACCTGCAGGCTCTCCAGGTCTGGAGGTGGAGGAGGGAATTCGGGCTCCTGCGGCTGGAAAGCGTCCCTGACGTTAGCCACCGCACCCAGAATCTTAAAACCGGAGTCCAGGAAGCCCCTCTGAAGGCCTGTTCAGGAGGATATTGAGCATTGATTTGGTTTTGATCATTGAATTGTTCAGCTGTGAGAGCTACTAGTGAATAAACGTATGCAGTGAGTGTTTCATAGTAGAGCTAGACACTGTGCTTATTATACATGATAGTAATAGGCGGTCACTGTAACATCTATAGGGGATACAGCTGCAGAATTCTCACATCAATGTAAATTTTGTTACACTGTAAACACAATAATTTATATTTTTTTACATTACTATGAGGGTTGTGGTAGGGGTAGATGTTATTAAAAGACAATTTTATAGATAATTTAATAAATAATATGAATGATGCTCAGTATAATTACTGTTTTACATTACTGTGATAGTTGGGATGGGGTAGACGTTAATAAAATACAATTAAATGGGTGATTTAATAAATAATATGAATAATACTCCGCATAATTACTATTTTTACATTATTGTGAGGCTTGTGGTAGGGGTAGACGTTAATAAAATACAATTAAATGCTCAATTTAATAAATAATATGAATAATACTCTGTATAAATACTGTTTTACATTACTGTAAGGGTTGGGATGGGGTAGACGTTAATAAAATACAATTAAATGCGCAATTTAATAAATAATATGAATAATACTCTGTATAATTATTGTTTTTACATTACTGTGAGGTTTGGGATGGGGTTGACGTTAATAAAATAAAATTAATGGTTAATTTAAATAATACTATAAACATTTTTTGTTAACTTCCGGCCACAGCTGTATCCCTTCTAGTAACAACACATGGGTGGCCCGAGTCAAAAATACCCACACTCCTTGATCACACACTTTTCATCTCCATCTTTCTTCCTCTGTGTCTCACCTTGGTCCTTTATGTTTGCGGCCACAGCTTTGGCATCCATGACCATTGGAGAGATGGTTCTGCTGAGCTCGTCTGAAGCCGCTTTCACCGTTTCTCTGAACTTCGGGTCCTCTGAGTTTTCAATCTCTCGCTTCGCCACCAGCAGGATCCGATTGGCCCGTCGGGCGATGCTGGTTGCCCCGGCGACAAGCATCTGAGGCTGGTGATTGGCCATGGCCACCTGACATTTATCCAGATCTTTCTTAATGGCGTCTTCCGATGCGGCGAGCAGAGACCTGGTGTCTATGGCTTCATCCACCAGACCTGAGAGACAGAGAGCAGATCAGACACTTAAAGGGGCTGTGGAAGTTTTCAACGCTTCTACAGCATAAAAATACCATGTGTTTAAAGCTATTTAAAAGACAAAATTGCTTATCAGAAACCCAATGCTAAAGTCAGTAACACTTTATTTTGATGGTCCAGTTGAGTATCAGCAGACTGTCTGCTTAATATCTGCTGATTCTGCTCCTTCCACAGACATTTAACTGACTAAAAGAAACTTGCAAGTACATGTCAACTTACACTAACCCCAACCTAACAGTCAACTTATAATCTAATGAGAATTAGCTGGCATGTAGATGCAATGTAACAGACCACCAAAATAAAGTGTGACCCTAAAGTCAGTTATTCTGCATTGTAAATGTGCAGTCTGTGTCTGAATGTTTGTCTTTGTTTTGGTGTGTGTGTGACTCCGCCCACTTTTGTATTTTTTATTTTAATTAATTAACATATTACAAATACATACACACACACACACACACACACACACACACACACACACATATATATATATATATATATATATATATATATATATATATATATATACATACACATACATATATATATATATATATATATATATATATATACATACACACACAAGCTATAATATGTCTATTACTGAAGTTTATAAAAATAAAATAAAAATATTTAAATAAAATATAAAAAAACATATAAAAAACAAAACAATTAAATAACAAATTATAATATAGATAGAAATAATGAATATAAAAGTTATTTATATATATATATATATATATATATATATATATATATATATTAACATTCTTAAATTATACAAAATTAAATTCCATTGAATAAACCATAAAATAAGCAAATTTATGCAAATAAATTTAAGTTTAAAATTTATTTTGGTCTGTGTGACTCCGCCCACGTTATTTTTTTTAAACATAAAAATAAAAAGATATTTTTATTTGTATTTAATTAACACATTAAAAAAATATATGGATGAGATTTAATTAGCATGCTATAGCATGTTAATCACTGAAGTTTCTAAAATAAAATAATTAAAATAAAATAAAGTATGAAAATAAACATAAAATAATAAATTATAATATATATATATATATAACTAATATAAATATATGTTTTAAGATTTCATGCTAGAACATGTTAATTATTTAACTTTATTAAAAAATAAACACAATAAAATAGAATATTAAAATAAAAAATATAAAAAAACAATTTATTAAAATAAACTATAATATAGATAGGAATAATGAATATAAAAGTAATTAAATAAAGCACAAAATAAACAAATTTATACAAATAAACTCAAGTACAAAGTTTGTTTTGGTCTGTTTGACTCCGCCCACTTTTGTATACTTAAAAAAATAAAAATTTAAATTTTTTATTTAATTAACATACTAAAAATAAAAATATATGGATGTGATTTAATGCTATGAAAGGTTAATAACTGAAGTTTATAAAATAAAACCATACATTAAAAAAAAAAATAAAAAAAAGGGGA